AAAAAAAAAAAAAAAAAAAAAAAAAAAAAAAGACAAAATATTAGAAAAACCTGTTTTATAGTCAGTAAATATTTTGAGGCAAGTCATTAAATTTACATTTTGTTTATCCACTGCGCATTGAGCATCAACAGCAATTTCATATTTAATTATGTTCTCTCATAAAACCATTGTGCCTTTTGATTTTTAAATTTGCATATATCTACTATTTATAAAGGCTTTTTTTGTTGCTCACAATGTGCTGGAAGCTTTTAAGACCACTCAGACCACTCCACATATTTGCATGGACTACAAGAAATTCATTAAAAAAAACTTTCACATGAAGATACATCAGTTCAGAGCAAGCTTGCTCATGCAAAGTGTGAATAAGATTTGATTATCAGTAAATGACAATGTGCATTTCAGTCTTTTCTTCATATAAATAACATTTGAAATCACCTTGATCATATGAAGCAAAAATTCACAATGCAAAGCAGCACGCACGCACCTGAGAGGCAAGGCCACCAATACATAACACTCAAAACTCAACGTTAAAAAAAGAAAGAGGAAGAAAGCAGTCTCGAATACAAAATTTGGTTGGTAAAACACCACAGTGATTCTGTAGAATTTGCAGTCAGTCACTTGTGCTCCTGCAAAATGACAGTTTTGATCTTCATTTTGTGGCTCCTCTGTCCAGATTTGGCCCATTTCCTGTACCCTTGGGGCAACTACTGGGTTTCTGACTGGCCTCCTCGCGGCTCCTGTCTGGATCCACTGGCATCGCAAACAGCTCACCTACAAGCTCAAGTGAGGAAAAGGACACAATCACAGGCCACCAGGAACTGAGAGAAAAAGAGATCCAGGCTGTGGTCAAAAGACGACTGTCCGTCCCAGTACCTGCTCCAAATCAAGAAATTATGCTTGACTCTGAGGTCACATTTACAACAATAAAAAAATCTGTTGTTTCTGTTTTTGTTGTTTTGTAGAATAGAGATTTAATTTGTCGTATGCTCCTAATGGCAGTATTTATTTGATCATTCCTCTCTTTTTCTGACTTGAGACATTTTGTAAAAAGCAACTGTTTTGCAACCCAAATTGAGATGCTGAGTTTCCCTTTTTGAAGTTAAAAAAGTCCTACTTCTGTAAATGACCCATGGGTTTGGTTGTGCTGTTTAGGCTTGCCTGGGTTTCGTCTCTCAAATGAACTCATGCTTGATGAGCCAGACACAGAAATACGGTTTGATTGTTCTTAGTCATTAGAAAGGGTGTCTCCGACATCTGTTCTGTGTGCTTGAATGTTCAATAAATCATTTTGTCCGTTTTCTTTGTATTCCATCTCAATGTTTAGTGTTCCTTTGTCATTTCTCCCTGAACAATGTGTCTTTTTGTCGGTTCTTCTTGTCATTCGCCCATAACTTGGACTTTTCATATTTCAGTCGTAGGTGACTGGGCCCATTGGTTCACCATTTTTTTGTTCAGAAGTCAGATTGAAATCTGGTTGGTTGTCAGTTCTTGCTTTCTTTCACTGGTGCCCCTGAGCTGGTGTATCATGTGATGAGGCAGCAGTTGATGCAGCGTGGGCCCAGTCTTCGCTTGAGCGCACCTTTCTTAGGAGCCAGAATGGCTATAATGGCCTCATCGAACACAGTCTTCAGGCCTTTCTGTGTCAGTGCTGAGCATTCAACATAACAGCAGGCACCAATCTGGAAAGGCACAGAAATGAGACACCTTTTTAGGTCAAACCAGTAAGTCATGACAATCTTTTCGCTTTCCTTTTGACCCATGTCTGAGTTTTTTCGCAGAAGAAAGTTTCAGTTTTACTTTGTACTTGAGAAAAAGGAAGTATCTATTTTCCTCACCTCCTTGGCTAGCTTTTGGCCCTGTTCTGTCACAATGGGCTTTTCCTTCACATCGTTCAGCTTGGCAATAGTCTTGGGGTCATCCCGCAGGTCAATCTACAGCCAAAAATGGAAACGGAGACAAATTCACAGTTAAGCAAGCTCAACGTGAGGGGTTAACTGTATGAGCACATGTGCTCTCTGCATTTCTTTTGAGGAGGACGGATGAGATTCCATACGATGGGGTTTGTTTTTAGAGCAGAAGGCAACAGGAAATTCAACCCAAGACCAGAAGGTGGCATGCGTCTGCAGACTCCCCTTTCACCTAAAAAGTACCACTGCAGTTGTCTAGGAGGGTCTCCATCTTCCGTTTCCAATTAAAAATCCACTTCATCTAAGTTTGAGTTTTTGCCAGCTGCTCTCCATACATCCACTGAGGTATTACCAAACCACTACACAGAGCAGTACTTCCTTCACATCATCCAATTAGGCGTGTGTGGAGCACAAATTGAAAAGTTTTCCTTTAAATATGTCAACAGCAGAAGTGAAGCTTTGTAGGGTTCAGGGTAGGGCTACATGATTCAAGGCGGAAAAAGTAAATCTAACTGAAATTTTTGATAAAAATCGTCACTGCGAAAAAAAAAAGAAAAATCCAAGTTTGCTGTGCTTGTTTGTAGGACTGCACGTTTTGGTCAAAATATTGTGGTTATATATCATTATGGTTATAAAAATATGGTTCTAAAATGATAAAAATAATTATTCCACAAAATAATTATTATTATTACGGCTACTACTACTAAATAATTTAAAAATAACTAAAATACAAAATAAGAATTATAATTCTTAATATTTCACCGTGGTTAATTTGACATTAAATAAACCTAAAGAGAGTAAAAATTCAATACTTGAAATTCATTTACTGCATATCCAAAAAAGGATTAGATGTCATTGTGACTGTGGCTGTCATAATTTCTTAATTTTCCAATGTTAAACCACTTTTATTTTGAGGGAAAACCACAGGGAGCACTTAAAGCTTCTCTTTTTTTTGATAAGAGCTTCTCATTACAAGTATGAGAAGATGTTTGGAGCATGCTGCGTTCCCAAAAGCACATTAAAGTGGCCCAAACTCACGAATAGAGATGCAGAGATGAGTTTGCATGCAGCAGCTTTAATAATCGCATTAAGCTATATCATGATTTCGATTTTATCCCGATTTATCGTGCAGCCCTAGTTCGGGGTCCTTGTTCCCTTTGACTCTCTCTGGCCTCCTTTCTTATCAATTGCCCTGCATTTGTATTCATCTTGCTCTGTGGTCTGATTAAGACAGGAAGCATGCACACAGCAATAAACATGACTGGACTGATGGGGCTGATGACAAACCCTCACTCTTAACACACATAGGTTATTGTATTTGCCAAACACAATTATAAGCCATTTGGATAATTTCATTGACAATATCATGCTATGAACAACATATGACTGAACCTTTCATGATGGCACACAAATCAATATTTTCAATCCATAATATTACCACAATTTAAACACACATCAGTTACAACCACAATGGATTCTCCCAGAACATAAATATCTGTAGATAAATATAAATAAACACAAATTTCAGTAATTCTGACACGCACACAAAAAAAAAAAAAAAAAAAATGAATGAGTTTGGGCTACATTTGGAATAGAAGGCCTATACTAGGGATGTACAATATATTGATACCATATTGGTTATTGGCCGATATTAGAGACATTTGAACTTATCAGTCTTGTTTGATATTGGATATATACTGTATAAAGAGCAAAACTGGATATTTTTAATATTCAATATTAGTTAATATATAAGTTAATCTAAAAAAACAACAACAATACTTTAATAACACTGTTAAGAATTTAATAACACTGTTATATGTAATCTTTAGCAAATCTCCAAATGCATATACATTTTGTATATTGTACATTATATTATTATGATGCCTAAATTTGCTTGCAGCATTTAAAAGAACTGATATTTGTTTTTAGTGTTTTATTTTTATATATATGTACTTACACAAAATACAATAGAATTGTAATAGCCGCCATTTATCAGCTATTAGCTTATCTGTATTGAACAGAACATTAATACTGGGGCATCCACACCAAACTATTCATACTAATTTTTTGCCATATGCACACTGTGCACAGTATGGGAATTTTCAGTATGCATGGATGACATGCACAGTTTAAAAAATAACTAAATAAATAACAAATACTGATAATTTTCTTATATATAAATAAAAAATACTGATAATTTTCTGTCAGGACATTATCCAGTAATTTTACAGACACTTATCCCTTTAACCTGTTAACCTTAAAACACAATGCAATAAGGTGCAAAATTCAAAACACAGGTAACATACCCTGTAAAAAAATAAATATATATTCCTTCACGAATTCCTTCATATACAGAGTACAACATTTGACAAAACGAGCAGTATACACATTCAGACCACACAATGTCTTTTTCTTTGTTAAAATGAACAATTTTAATAGATATATTTCCAAGAAAATAACTAGACACCAATATAGCCACAGTAAAACATCAGTATACTGTAGCGTTCTAGTGTTTGAAATGTGCAATTTTCTGCACTGTTTCACATACAATTACAAAAAGTGTACAGTATATGGAATATTATTGCCATATGTAGCAGCAGGTGTGCGTACCTGAGTACCAATGAGCAAGTAAGGGACGTTGGGTGCATACTCCTGCAGCTCAGGGACCCACTCCTCTCTCACGTTCTGGAAGCTGGCTGGATTCACCACAGAGAAGCAAATGAGAAAGACATCTGTCATGGGGTAGGACAGGGGTCGCAGGCGATCATAGTCCTCCTGTCAGAGCAGAGGACACTGGGTAAAAACAAGTACTAAGCCTTTTTTACTGCTCACCAGGTCAACAATGGTCAAAAACGCATCAGGAATGCACTCAAAAGTTGTTATCAGAAGCATTTACTTTAGTAAACTACCCTAATATGAGTTTGCTTCGAATAGAAAGTGTCATTTCCTTCTCTACAAATCTTAACTAATAGCATCCACTGCTGTATTGAATCACTGTCCACAAATGCTCTGTAATGGAACATTATCAACAATCACTTAAGCAGCAACCAGAAATTACGCTGACCCCAATGATTGAGCAGAGATTAATATGATTTAGATTATGGCACGTGACCCATAAATCCATATTTTATTCAATAGCGTTTCCTCCATCGCCCCATTCGTCCTCTAAAGCAGCACGGAGGCAGAGACGTGTCCTCTGGAAACCAGAAATCCCAGACGCTACAACAGATAAGCCAGGATTTACAGGGGACATGTGACTGATATTTTTGGGAACTTGTTTTTTTTCCCAACGTGTGTGTGTTTGTGTGTCTCCACAGGCTGTGTGTGTGTTGGTATGCAATCATCCATGGTTATTCTTTCTAATGAGAGTGTGTCTAAACTATAACAGCATGTGCCTCTGGCCATGCATTGCAGTATAAACATTTCATTTGTGACAGGGAATCATCCTGGGCTTCTAGAAATGAAACCTCAGAAATGTGGAGCCAGAGTTTCTAAGCTTCAGAGTTTAATTTACTGTGACGTCTCTCATCTTGGAGCACCTTTGCATCTGAACCGCAAGGGACGTTACTAACAACTGGTGACTGAAGACTGCGAGTGAAAAAGTACTTCTGCCAGTTTCCATAACTTGGAGCTCTTCAGGATTTCTAAAGCCTTGAGGTGCGGTCAGATTAAAACATCCCAAAAAAACGTCCATTGTCTATTGTCATCAGCACAAAGATGTAGCACAGCCCACAAAGAAGTCACTTTCAAACCAAGCAGCTTTCTCTTGGTCAATATGGTGAATTTGAGTGACCAACTTAAACACGAGTGGAAATCTGTGTGGAGAACTGTTTTGCCCTCATGCAAAACCCCAAAATGCAAGGATTCCTATTGGAATGACTTGATTTTGCTTGTGAAACTGTGTTAAATGTGACCTCACCTTTAAGACCTCAATATACTTACAGCAAAGTTGTAAGAAATATCTGAGCAGTAGTATACTGTTAGTGAACATCATGGTTATTTGTGTAGCACTTTATACAATGGACTGCTTTAAAGCAAGCAGCTTTACGGTATTAAAGTGACCCTATTATGCTATTTTGAATATTGCCTTTCATGCAGTGTGTAATGTAGTTGCAATGTGAATGTAAACGATCTGCAAAGTTGTAAAGCCGAAAGTGCACGATAAATAAAGTTATTGTCTCCCAAAAGAAAGAATCGATTTTGAACAGCCAAACCAGTCGTCAGTAATTCAAAACCCACTTCCGTAACGTGTAAGATATTTGCATAATTCCCGCCTTTGTTCTATGTTGGCCGGCTGTGAACAACTTGATCTGCCCCCAAACACTCTAGCTTGTTCGTGTGGAGACTCCCAAAACAATATTAGGAACCTTAAAAATGGCATAATAGGAGCACTTCAAACATTGTGTCAGTGTCACTTTGGATTAGAATTACAACCTTAATTTCTATTATACCATGGTCTGTCTGAATACTCGATTCTGACTGGCTGGAAGGTGTGCATTAAAACAGTTTAGGGCACAGGGAGTTCCAAGGCAGTTTAATCACCATTCTACATTAATGCACTGCTTTCACTGATGCACACACATCACTCGCTCACAGAGATTGGAGATCGCACTGCGCACACAGAAACATTCAGGAGCACAGTAACTTGTTATAAACACTGTCCTGTGATTTTTATTAATTAAATAGCTTTGATACTGAATTGCTATGTTATATTTCTCAGCAACGAGGAGGTAAAAATGCTGTTTTTGAAGTAACTAAACTCACAGCTTCATTGTATGTAGAGAGAGATGCACAGACACAGGTAAATCAGACACACAACTTTGACCCCCCCCCTCGATAATTAATTCAAATAAATGCTATAATTCATTTATTCCAATAAATGTGATTTTACCGCACTACTTCATCTTTGTGTCTGATTTAAAGCGGCCAGAATGCTAGCATTAACGAGCTGTAACTGACGAAAATAATCGTCATTTTTACCCTTCCAGTCAAATATTGCACTGCAGACAACATTAACAGCTTTAAGTTGTCAATGCTGGCAAATGATCATGGTATAAGCAGGATAATCCAGGGCTAGCTGTGCATTAAACAAATTTAATGCACTCCGTGGAGGAGTTGTTTAATTTGTGTAATGCACAGCCAACCTTGGATTATCCCTTACCTATAAAGCAGCTCTCCAGTGTGTTCATGTTTCTACTCATGACTGACCTCGACAGATTGAACAGAAGAAATAAACTGGAGAAGATTTCCATGTCAAAGAAGGCGGAGTCAACGAGCACACCAACCTATTACGTCATCACTATGGAGCAATGGAAGTTCGAAGGTGTTAACAGCTGGAGAGAACTTTTCTGGAGAGTTTACTTTGACAAGCCATTTTGAATTTCTGAAACAAACTCCAAACAAATTTTGTTTTGGCCTAATTTTGTTTGAAAAGGTGCCACACCAGTTTGTTCTTCAAATTAGCTTGAAGTATATCAGGGCCTTTAGGGTGGGTCATAGAACAGTTTAGGAACGCTCGCTTTGAGCAACGTTAAGTACACACACACTCAGTATACACAAAACAGCCAGACAGTCGCTCATCCATCAAGAAGATTTGTTTTTACTTGCAACTGCCAATGTTTCAAGGTCAAATGTGGCGTTCTGTGGCTCAGATATGAACCTGTGATATATAACCTTAAGAATTACAGCCCAAAAAAGGTTTGCTTCTGCTGGCGGGAGACAGTCCTGTCCCTGCCACATGACAAATCAAGATTTGTTGCAACATAACCTGACAAAACAAAGTTGAGCAGGTGCATCTGGTGTAAGTGAGAGTGTTGTGTGAGTGTGTGTTGGGCCTGTGGGGTGGCTGCGTTATAAATACACTTGCTGCCCATCCTCTGGTCTGTTCAAACATTCTACAGGGGGTAGGGTGGGAGGGATGGCATTATTTACAGCTGTCCTTTGCCAAAACTGAATGTAGAATAAGCCAACACATCATCCACCCACGTCTCCTGCATATCTCCTGCTACCTCCAGAGAACACACATTCAACACAAGTTTATGTCCGTGTTGGGGAGTCGCTAATGAAATGTAGTGATGCTACTAACTTAAAGGTGAAATGTGTAATTTTCAAGCCACTAGCAGCACCTATCAGAATTACAATCTTTTTGTGAAAAAGGCACTATCTGGTTGAAGATGACATTGGATCAAAGAGCACACAATAAAAATACAATAAATGTATTTTATAACCCTAACCACATTTTATATATTCATATACATAATTATTATATGAAAAAATAATACACCTAAAACATATTAATAATTGCTTCAACGATCATGAAGACTAGAATAATGGCTGCTGAAAAATCAGCTTTGCCATCACAGGAATAACTTTTTAAAACATTACATTTTAAAATGTAATAAAATAGAAAATTACCATTTTAAATTGTAATAATATTTTGCAATATTACTATAAGTTTTACAATATTACAAATAAATGCAACCTTGTCAAACACAAGGTGTGTGTATATATATATATATATATTATAATTAAAAGGTAGTTTGACTGTAGTAGAATTTCATTGAAACTGCAGCTTGTCACGCTGCAAGCTTTCCATAATTATAAGTAATTTCCACAACATTGGTTTCTATTGCAGCATAAAAAGTCAGCAGAGCTGAAACAGGCTGCTTTTACTGGCTTGTAATAAAGTTAAAATACATTTTGATTGTGGTCTGTGAAAACCAGTTGATTAAATAGGTTTTTATATTAGTGCTTCATTCCCTTGAAAACGCCCTGCGACGACTTATCACGATCCAGAGCCTGTTAATAATGAAATATGTGACAATTCTGTGGAAACCGTGTGTGTGTGTGTGTGTGTGTATACCTGTGTGTGCATACCTGTGTGTGTGCGAGCGCCCTGCTCTTTTGAGAGCTGAGGGAAACGGATTGAAAAAAAGCGAGACAGCAGTCTAACGCAGTGAACCTGGAAACACCCTTCTCTGCTGCCTGCTGCTGTCATTACCATATAGCTCTGCCTCCAGCTGATACCACTGACAACAGACAGCCTCTGAATGCACGCATTTCTCCTGGAGTATGAACACACCGACAATACAGTCAATTGTACACAGTCTCTGCTCCACACATAGTACTGTATAAGACAACTCCTGCCTCTGTCCTTATCCTCCTTTTTGTTTCTTACAAAAGCAAATATCTGATATGGGATGGAGGAGGACTATCAGACATTTGTTATCTGTACTGCCATGCCTAGGCACTGTTCTTTACTTGCTACAGACATCAGAATTATATGTTCCTGCATTCTTCCTAACACACAAACACACACACAATCAGTTTAAAATACATTTGTGTGTTGGAGTCGCAGCTCAGAGGTTAGCATAGATGACATGTTTGACTTAATTTCAAATCATTTCAAGATCCCGTACCTCTCCTCACATCACTTCCTGTTCTCAATTCACACTCCTTCAGATAAAAATAAATACTATTTTATACTAATATATATATATATATATATATATATATATATTGCTATTATGCAAATATTGTTCATATTAAATATTTTTTTTATGTTTTTGAATGAAGTCTCTTATTCTCACCAAGGCTGCATTTACTTGATCAAAAGTACTGTAAAAACAATAATATTGTGAAATTTTATTACAATTTAAAATAACCGTTTTCTATTTTAGTAAATTTTAAAATGCAATTTATTCAAGAGATTGCAGAGCTGAATTTTCAGCATCATTACTCCAGTCTTCAGTGTCACATGATCCTTCAGAAATCAT